AGTAACATTTTCCTCACGTTCTGGAACTAAATGAAGAAAGCCCTAAAAATTACTCAAAACTGATGCGAAAGTAGAGGTATGTCGGTCAATTCGTTCAAAGATCAATAATTTTATTTACCGGAAATTGCTGAGCCTTTAAAGCTTCGGAAAAAGTATATAATCACTTCTTCAGAAACGAAATTTTTAAAGTTAGAAAATAAAAATTATTTTAATACCACGATTTCAAATGACGTTAATATTATATTTGCCATTAAGATTTAAAAAAATTTATAAGAGACATGGGCAAAAATTTTATAAGAGATCAATAGGCAAAAAATGCGATCTAATGCGGAGAGAAAAGAGAAAACTATAGTTTGTGTATTACATATTATTGCTTAATGTGTGTGTAGGAGATATAAGTTCTGAGTTCGATTATTTTTAGAGTCCGGACATCTAGAAAAAATAAACAGCCTCTCTCAAGTCTAGTCTAAAGTACGAGATTGAGACTGTTTGATAAAACTTTATTTTAATCAGCAAAGTATTACAATAAAACAGTAAAGTAAGATAAGGGGTACAGATCTATCCTCTTCCTCCCACTTTGATTTACCTACTGTTACATATATTTTTGTAGTAAACGTAATAATTAAAAATAAAATTAATGATATAAAAAAGTAAAATCGTTACAATCACGTTGAAAAATTAATAATTATTTATTTATGCAAGTATTGCAATTAATGCAAGTATATTGCTGAATTGTGCATTGAAAAACAGACGTGCCGAATATGTCGATATAAACATTCCGTTCGTGTTCCATTCGTATTTTGGCTTGGTGTGTTTGTTTGCTGTTAAAAACACAATTATTTAATATAATATCTTGCTCTCTGTACGATTTTATTTGTTTTTTATGTCATATTAATTTATATTTATATCTTAATTATTATTTCTATTAAAGGGAAAAAGATGTACTTGACACATTTCTTTTTTACATTTTTTTACCCAGTAGGCAAATTCCTCGTAATATAACAATAAATTGGTAGTAGATTTGCTTTAGATATTACAACAGATCCGGTATCATCTGTCCGCATTAAACTCATCTTTTGTCGGCAAAAATCTGCCGATATAATTTGACAGCAGATTGTCGGTAGATTGCTCAGTTCCTGCAGTCAACATGTCAATATTATATTCTGTTATATTTCTGCCGGCACATTCTAATATCGACAAAATTTGACAAAACTTTCTATATTCTCGACAGATTTGGCTGTCTGGCTACATTGATATTTTTTACGCTTACTAAGACGTTAAGATCTCAATGATTTATGAAGCGACAAAAAAGAAGGCCGTAATTTCGATCGTAATAGCGGAAAAGTGTGCGAAAATATTTTTGGTTTCCAGCACGTTTATTTAAATTACATCCGTACGAAAATGACGAAGAGGCAATTGAGTAAACTCCGAGCGGAAAGATTGTAAGATAATATAATTTTAATTTTTTTTTTTAATATAGGTTTTCAAGAACGCGGTCTCCTTTTTAATTTCTATATCATATTTTTATTTTCTTCTATTTTCTATTAAAAAATTTCTTTCCTTTCTTCTTTCTATTAAAATGCATGCGGCAAAGATTATAACGCTAATTTATCAAAGCGGCGAGTGAGTTTCTAATAGGTACATTACATAACGTTGAATTATTTGTTATTGGTATTTCCTATCACATGTTTGATAAAATAGTTTACGTGTTGGTTCTAGGTGACTGGAGGGTCAGATATATCGAGAAAAAGAGTTCTTAACATTCAGTATTTCTATTTGTTTGATTGAAATTTCTTTCATTAAAGCAACATATGCTTATAGACGAAATCATATTTTTTTGAATAACAAAATTTTTTTTTCAAGGAAACCCTATTATTTAACGGAAAAAACTATTATTAGAAGTAATATCTCCTAACTAAATAATATATTGTTTGGCTACAATGAATCTATAAAATAAAACAAATAATTTCTTTATGTTAAGCCGTTTTTATGCCGTTTTGTTAATTTTTATTCGATTTTTTTAGTGGTTCACTAGATAATGATAACCCTCCGAAATTTCTAGTTAAAATTTGCTCTGATCAGATGACCAAGAGCCGAGATATTACTACAAAACAACCTCGAAAAAGAAACTTTAGCTATGCATATCGTACATTTATCTTAATATTTGTTAATAAAAAATATTTTTTTCTACTCTTTATATATTGCATAAATGTACCTCAAAATTTCATTTTTGCACATTTATTCAGTTTATCACAAAAGTTTCCAGCAATCTGACCCTCCACACACAGTCCCCTTAATTGCGTACATTTTAATGCACTCTATACATGAGCGTGTAATTAGTCTCGACGAACAAAATCATGTATTTATATACATGAGACTGATTGTGAGAAATAAAATTTGAAATTGCATTAATTCTATTCGACCTAGTTGCCATCGAAAGCTTGCATCGACATTATATCAGAAAAGCGTTGTTACTTGTTTTATTGCCCTCCCTTTTCAATTTCAGATATTTTAATCAAAATCACGTTTACAGAAGAATTCCAGATAAGTTACTTGGTAGAGCCTTGAGTAGAGTGTAGTATTTCGATGGAGTATATACTATGTAACATAATCGCACTGTCAGTCGATATTTTATATACCTAGCGTCACTTGAGTTGCTGTAATAATATTAGAGAAATAACAGAATTCTTCATTTTAGTGCTTAAATAATTGAGCAATATTTTTGCATTGAATATTTAAATGTATCATTTATTTTGCTATTGTAATTTTATAAAATTGTAAATTTTTATATCTATAATATGCACAGAGAGAGAGGCGTTACATAAAAAATAACCGCAATTAATTTTTTATCATATTTTCATCGAGAAACATTTCTTTCAAGCTTATTGCAGTAATCGGCTAATATATTCAACTTTTATTATTTTTCTTTTTCCGCGAAAAATTTAATTTTTTCCCGAGATATCAAAAGGTCACTTTTATAAATAAAATACTAATTTTATGAAAAAGTTTTATATTGCACTCTCATATGCTATACGCTGTTATAAATGTCTCGAAATTCCAACCATTCTATTATACATGTTATAAAAACAATATTAGCGTATGTAATTACATTCGTGATGTAATGGGAAACGAACGCGAGATATGAGATTGTATACGGGATAATAATGAAATTAATATAATTAGTAAGAATGGACTTTTATAGAAATTAAAGAGCATATGACATTTTATTCGTAAACTTAAAGTATATGTATATGTAATTGTTATATCAGACAACAACTAAATTTTTTACTCAATTAACACATTTAAATGCAACATTTGTTCCCACTTTTTTTCGTTATTATCTATTCTTGTTAAATACAACAGTTGCATAATCGTACGTGGAAAAAATAAACCTTACGTTTCAGTAGTTAAAATTGAGTCGTTTCAAATTGCCTGCATCCTACCAGAATAAAAATTAAATTAAATCGAAAAGCTAATTTCGAAAGTTTATTACAATCCCCCCCTCAGTTAAAAAAGAAATATGTATTTTTCTGGTTCCAAGTTGGAGAAAAGCACTTATATGTATATGTTTCTTTTTAAATATAATTTATCAGGTATAATATTCTAATTCATAATTATTTGTTTAAATTTAAAAGATCACTTTAAAATTATAAATGATTTTATCGATGGTACTATATGATACAATGCCATCAGAAGTACCAAATTTTACATTATAGTTTGTTTTAAAATACACGACCTTATAACTGAAGGGCTACTAAATTTAAAGGATGTATTATACAGGATTATTTCTCCAAATCTTCTTCTACATCTTTTTATATATACGTCACGTTGCTCGATACGGGCTGCGTTCGGGGAGCGCGCTATTAGCGCTATTTGCTTATTCTATCCTTATTTTACACCTGAAGAGCGATAAAGATAAAATGATGCAATAGCGCTAATAGTGTGCTCCCCGAATGCAACCATAGCATACCCGCTGGAAATCGAAAATTGTTGTTGGGGTACAAGAGGGGAAGTCTGTAGGAAGTCCGTGGGAAGCTTACCCTCCTAGCATTTTGTAATGGGTGATTTGGGAATGATGATCCAACTTGACGATGCGAATAATAAAGAAGAGAGGAAACTTGGCTGTATCCAGTTGAATGAGTACGCATTCATTTCATGAATTCATGCATGTTTTTGTAAAATTTATTTTTTCTTCGACTTATCTTAAACGTTTTCCTACGAAATAAATAGAACAAGATGAAAAAATATGTATAAATAGTTAAATTTTATTATAATTTGTTATTATTTGCGCTAATTAATCTATATAATTTATTATATTACTTAATCTTGAAACGTAGCCTTACGTCAAGGCTGGAAATCTTTCATTACTAAATTGATGTACAATTTAACATCATTAATACTAATAAGAATCTTATTGACCCTCCTATCTTGTACGATATTTATTGCTAAAAATATTACCTCAGCCGAGGCACGAATCTCATGTTTTTCCCATTTTCCAGAAGGGGCTTTATTCATTCGCCAGGGCAAAACATTCTAATAAGCCTCTTGTAAACTCCCCTGTTCTGTTTATCGTACTAAAATTGAGACGATATTTTCCGGAATAAATTTTGTTTGTACGGTTTATAAGATACTCGTTAGCAATATAAATTGTATATCAGTTTTATAATGCCTGCAGATAGCCTTTTATTGATTTATTTTTAAATAAAGAAAAATAATTTATAATTTACATAAAAGTAAGAAAAAAAACCACGTAATTTATAATTTATTACCAATTTGTATATTATATATGATTGTTGTATTGATTTGTTGTCCATATCTGAAAACTTTATATAAAGACTCGAGTACAAAATTGATACTTTACAATCTTTCTTGACAAAACGGACAACGCAATATATTATTAAATTCACAAAGTAGTCAAAATAAATTGTTCTTGAGATACATTACTTACACATTACTTAATTCGAGAATAGGTATAATGAGAGATTTAATGACAATGACAATTAAGTTGAAAATCTTGTTTTATTCGAATAGATCACATGGATGAAAAACAACTATTACAGATTATGTTTTTATTTATTCTGTGAACAGTCAACAAGAGTTTATGCGAATAATACGGTGGAACAGATTCGAATGGCTACTTGAACTTTCCTTATGCACTAAATATATTGCATTTGTCACATTGTTACATCCTATTTCGTCTGTTCTGTGTTATATTAATATTCGTTATGTTCAGTCAGTACGGAGTAATCGACTCGAAGTTAAAAAAACAAACCTTTAGGAGTTTCAATTTTAAGCAGACTTTAAAATTGATTTTAAGATGTTATCTTACAGCGTTTTGGCCGGCATGAATTTGACCCATGACCAAAGTCCAATCCGAGAAGAGTTAATAACGATCACGTTCTACTTCCAGGTTTTAATCGGACGATTCCAGCATGTGATGTCATTAACCCAACTCGGGTTGGGCCTTGGTCATGGGTCAAATTTATGTCAGTCGAAAACGCTATTTATATAGATGTATCACGATTCGTTTTGTAATTCACACAGCTTTATCAATTTCCTGTTTTCATGTTATATTTTTAAACACAATAAGTTCATTAAACTCATATTCTTCATTTCGTGTGCGCGAATGTGTGAATGATTCATGAATTCTATTGTTGTAACAATGTAATAAAGTTTTCGCATTATTCATTATTAGAATTTTTATGTCGTATTTATCAGTTTTATTGTACCCATAAATACGAAATGGACAGTGACTGTGAAATAAATGGTTGCATCGATGATGTATTATTCATATAATTTGTTTTACAATTCGGGATGAAAGATTAAAATATTTCCCTTATTGGAGTTAATTTATCGATCTCTCAACGTTACGCTCTTCAAAATCTATTTAAACAATTTAAATAAATTTTTTGACATTGTAGCACGATAAATTGCAATCACGAGAGTTTTCATGTAAATCATAAAGGTAAACAACGTCCCTTATAAATTTTTAGATTTATCTTCATTTTTTCTGCCTATTTTGTTGGTTATTTATTTATTTACGAATAATGAATCACAATTGCGTTTAGAAGCACGTCAAAGATGAAATATCCAAAGCCTTTCAAAGAGTTTCCGACTTTTACAGTTTATTGCTCTTTCCACTCGGTAAATAAAAGATTATGCTGGAATCTCTTATTTTTGGTAACGATTGTTATCCATATATGTCTAAAAAAATAAAAATTGTTTTATTCAGTTGAGGGAACTAAATGCGATAAAATTATACCTTTCCACATAAAATCTTAGATGATTAATAAGATCTTGTATGTATCTTTAGATTTTTATCATTATTATTATTTTCTTTTGGTACACATTCTGAACTCTGGCCTTCCTTTACTTTCAAACAGCTGCTTCGTGATCTTCTATTCATTTCACTGATTATAAGAAACTTCAAATGTATCTAGCACAGTAGCCATTGTTGAATATCTTCAGTGCCACTTCAGTATTTTGCTCCGTTTACAAATTTCCCGAGTCTAGTTTCTTTGTCTACAAATAACATTATATATTTATGTATATTTAATGATATAAATATAATATAATTATAAATATAATATAATTATAAATATAAATATAATATAATTATATTTATATATATATTTAACCTAATAAAAAAATTATAAAAAATTACGATGAAATTACATATTTAATATAATTTTTTTCATGTTATATTTTCTTGAATTACATTGTAAAACGAACATAAAATAAAGAGACTGACTTACCTAAGTTTGGTAACATCGAACTGAGAGATCCAGGATAAATTTTTTGCTATGTATCACAGGCTTAATATGCAAACGTAACACCGTGATGCAATTAACACCTTCCAGATTCATAACTTTTTTATGTGCCATCAATTCATATGAAAATGTAGGATAAAATTAAGATGCAGCAGTTAAGTTTTATGCTTAGCAACCTCCCATTGCACAATAAGATACGCACATAGTAAAATTCTTCACATGGTCAAATCTATTAAAAAAAAAAAAACAAGCTACCAATCTGATACAGGATCTAGTGTATACAATACTGTAGACAGAACTCTGACAGAAATACAGTAAAGTTTGACCAAAATATGATGACAGATTGACTGCAGAAATCAGGTAAACTCTTTGATATACTTACTGCATAATTGTATACAAATTAACAGCAGAAATAGAGCAGAATCCGCATTCAACAGATTCTACCCAGTTTCTGCCTTCAGTTCTACCATCGAGTTATGTTAGCAGGCTCTGCAGAACATAAGCTTAATGCGGACATTATAATCGATTTGCGGGAATTTCTGCCAATTCAATTTACTGTCAATCTACTGATACGCCGCGGTCAGTTTGCTTATCGAGTCCTGATTAGTATGTCTAAAGGCTGCTAGGTCAATACGCCAGATTGCAGATTCCGACTGATTCTCTGCAACTGCGAGTGTTGTTGAAGCATACGGATGCCAAAGGAAAGCCTGTAGAATCCTGCGTCCTGTCGGATGCCTGTCGTTTCTATCCGGAGCACGCGTCCACGATCGTCCATTATTCGCTTTCTCCTTTTTCCAAAGCTGGAATAAACATTTAAGATTAGCTTTTTATTCTTAAACTGAACTGAAACTGAGCTAGTGCAGGCGAAGATAGAGAGAACAGAAAAGAACGTGTATAAAGATTAATCAATGATTCGCCCTGTTGTACCCGTGGAATCGTTAGATTTATCTGATCACGATAACTATACAACTGCAGTTCCACCAAAAAATAATTAAAAAACTATATAAAGAAATATATAAGTATTATTAAGCGTCATAAGATTTTCTAACCTTATAAATTTGACATTTAACGGTTACTGTTTTTTTTAACAGGAACTGGCGACAGTTATCACTTATATATCTGTAGAATTTCAAATGTTATTTACCAGAATATAAATATTGCGAAATCTTTTCGATCTAGGAAAGCTGTCACTTTCGTATTTACTATTTAACTTGTTTACTTTTGCTTCGAAAATGCCGGCTGATTTTTCTCGCTTGCAATGGCTCTGCACTTCATAGTGCAGCCAGTTCAGTAAACTCTTGCACTGAGTTTCGGCTGCACTCCCAATAAATATACACTTCTTGAACCAGTGCTGCTAATTGAGAAATAAAAGAGCAAATCTTTTTATTTAGATGTCATTTTCGAGGTCGTAAGGTACCTAGGAGTGCAGATCAAACAAACGTATACCTATCGTCATCTCCGCGACAATTCGACGAGCTAAATTGCCGACTAGTTCTCGCACGTCGTTCTCGGATTTCAATGTAATTTTACTCCCTCGAAAAGAGGCAGAGAGCTTTTCTCTGTTAATTAAATTCCAAATCTGTCGGTTTCCCATTGCACCGTTTGATACGCGGAAAGAATTTCATTAAATTGGCTGACGCCGAGTGCATTGTTTTGTAAACAACGACCGAGCTGGACCGAGCTCGGTCTGAGTGACCCGGACCCGTAGCTTCGATCACGTGTTTACACGCCTGTAAACAAAGTTCTCATGTCATCTCTTGTGTTTTCCGGTTAACAATTGCAAAATAATTCCAAAGCAGGTGATAACGCACGTGTGAAATGAGCAGATTCTTTTTGTAGACGTATTTACTTTGTCGAACAAGTTAAATTGATTGGCTTGACTATAAACACAATTAACACGATTGTTGAATATAATTAACACGATTTGTCGAATGTGCAGGTAATTGGGCGAAGATAATTAATTACAGCTAAATTATAATGCGAACTGTATAGAGAAAATCACAATTTTTATAAAATTACCGTAGCTTGTTGCACAAAGGTATAGACACGTCTTCACACAACGCAGAGAAGTTGAAAATACTTCCTGATTTTAGTATTTAAGTATATTCTTTTCGTTCGTTACATCTGTGTGATAAAATTAAAAGAGTTTTGTCGTCCAATGCAGGTAGCTGGATTTAAAAGCACATTGGAGGTTCATCGACAGCGAATGTTCGCCACTGAGACAATAAAATATGTTTGGATCATTACGTAGCAAGTTTCAGACGGTGCAGGAAGGTATATCTGCTAGGTAAAAGATTTTCTATATTTACTGTGTCTTTTGTCATTATTGTGTAGAGATGATACGGATAATAATAACGTACAATAATAGAACTCTGACGATAGCCGCTCATAAATCACACACTTTTGAATGATGAACTACGAAAGATAACGTAGCGACGTAAGCAGCAGCAGCAACTAACTCCAGAACGTAATCGATGATTTCAGTATACGCGGATTGTCCACTACTGAGCAGCCAAAGAGCAAAAAATCGGCCAATGTAAGGAATGTAAATTATGACGCTGGGGCAGACGTTCTGCATCACTTTCAACTGCAATGGAACGAGCTTCACGAGCTCGCAGAGGAAAACGCGGGAAAGGCTCAGGAAGCGGATACGCTGATATCTTCTATTTACGAGAAACTTCAACACGAGTGGAACAACGTCACATGTTTAAATAGCACCTTAGCTTACATTCCAAAGATTAATAATGCAATTCAAGATCTCATGGACCAAATAGGTAGTTTCCCTTTTTCAGAGTTGAAACGCGACGCGTTAAGACACAAATAGAAATCGAATCTTTCTAAAATTGTCCATTTTATTATGTCGAAGGAAATTTACAAGAAATGTTTGAAGAAGTTGAAGGAGCTTTGTATCGATTGGAGGACCTAAATGAAATGTTAGATTTACAAAGTAGACAGTTGGATCACAGGTTCCAGTTGGCTTTGTATAAAGAGAAGAAACTGATAGAATTAAATAATTTTAAAGGTATACGTTACGCGACGAAAGAAATGTATTTTGTGTATCCAGTCAAGATCTTTTCATGAATTATTTCAAATTAATTTTTTTTTTTTAGGAAAGTTAGCTAACGAGCACACGGAGAGACTCTCGCAACATGAATTAAATCAGCAAAAAAAATTGAAAGAGCGACGAGAGACCTTCGAGGAAGCCTTTAAGGAGGATCTTGAGGAATACAAAGCAACTGGATCTATACCAAGTATGCCTTTTATTTCTATATCTTCTCACAAAGAAAAAGAAAATGCGTGTGAGCATTAAAGTGAATTAAATGAACAATTACTCGTAGAAATATCCAAGCAAAACTATTCAAATTAAGTAAATCTATTGTAAATAATTTATACCCTGTGAATATCGCATGGATGTCTTGCCACTTGATGCAAACCTGTATATTGTTTAAATACGATTGCCACAGAGTATCAATTGAGAAGTTATTAAACAGCTATGTTATTTCGAAAATTTATTATTGAGCTGTGCAGTCAGCTGAATTCGTTATAATATTTATATTTACAAGTTAATACAAATATATTTCTAAAAAATGGTATTTCTTCTGCAGTATAATGTTTCATCCACTTTATTTTGTCCATTCACGAGATAAGTTTAACTTCCCGATGATTATTTTGTGATTATCATTAATTACAGATTATATGATTAATTTATCTGTTTCAAATTTTAGAGTTACCAGTCTCTGCAGAAGGTCCATCTTTGGACGAGATAGTGTTGGACATTGATTCGAAGATATTTGATGAGTTTTTAGAGAATTAGAGGCAGAAGATTGAGGATTGTATCCATAAGTCTGTCGATAAGTCGTTGCTAAACTTTATTTGAAGGTAGCTCATGACGGAACATGACTTAACCGCATTTCTTACAACTAGATATTAGGGCTGTGATTCAGACAATTTAAGCTTTTTAATATAAAAAGTGTAAAAAAAATAGTTCACAGTATAAAAAATGTCTTATACAAATGCTTCCAATTTTTCCATCATCCATCAAATGCCTAAACTGACTTAAATTTCATGAAACTTTGTACAATCCTCTGAGATGTAAGTGCAGTATTTTGTGAATTGTATTACGTATCATTTGTCTTTTGAATTGAAGGGAACTCGAATTTTATCCCGCAACAATTCTCTCGTATGTAAATAGATGTAAGAGAAAAATGTTATTTTGTTAAATTTTCCTTAATTGTATTATAACTAAAAAAAAATAAATTGATGTAACATGTATTACAAACTTTCAGAAATTTCTTTGTATATTTATAATAAAGTGTGTTTAATAAAATTTGTACAATTCACAACAGAATTTTTTTACTTTAACCGCAATGTCAAGATTTGCGCAATAACTTCGTGCTATCAACGAAAAAAAAATTTTTTTTAAATTAGTTTCGCGATCGTAGCGCCATGTAGCGGAGAACCGTGATACTTCATCCCACGTGGTGTCGTCCCGCGTGCGGCGACGGCGACGATACCCGATACCGGATACCTCCGCCTCGAGCTCCGGCTCCGATTCGTTGGATTCGCCGAGCATTGTGTAGGGAAGCCGATTGAAAGGGAAATTCAATCTGCCGTTCGCAAAAGAGTCAAATAGTCGACACTTTTCAGGTGAGCGGTCACAATAAAATTGATTGCAATTGCCCGCTATTCCGTCTTGACATCTTCGTATTGAAATTTTGAGGTTATCCACGCTCCAAGACGGTGCGCCGCGATGTCGTGATATTTACGTAATGTTATATTTTCAGCGTACGTCGACGAGCGAGCGAGCGAGCGGGATTCGCCGACAATGGATCCGGGCTTCCAAAGGAGAAAGAGGAAGGAGAGGCTGTACGACAAGATGCACAGGGGCGCCGTGAAAGTCTGCATGGGGGTGACGGTAATCGCCGGCCTCCTCATCGGCTACAAGGCGTACGAATACTTTCGATACATTCGTCCCTTGCAACTAGCGCAGAGCAAACTCACCACGGACGAGCTTTTGGTTGAGGGTAGGAACATAGAAGAATCTCCGGACATAAAATTGTCGACGTAGGGCAGACCGTCGTGCGGTCGAGATACATCTGTAAGCAATTCTTTTAATGTATGGGCAAGGGAAGTGGAAAAACATCGAATGACAGTCGACGCGGAGCAGTGTATTCGAGAGAATCAGAATATATTTATAACTCGAATAATTATCAACTGTTAATGAACCTGTGTACATATATATATATAGTCAATGTAAAAATTAAAATTATGCTCATCATTTGTAAATAAACTTCATAGTTTTATTGTTTTCTGTAATAAATATAGTCTTAAACATTTTGTTTCTTACTAATTTTTGTATCCCATTTATCATATTTTGAGTTGCAACTCTCCAATAACATACATTTCTTTTTTTTTTCTATTAAATTAGGTAACTTATTAGATTACAAGAAATTTATAAATTGTAGAAAAGAACAAAAATATAAGTACGTCACTTACGAGAAAGTGTACATTGAAGGAAAGTTTAAGAGTGATTATTGCAGGGATTATCCTCTACAATTAATTGATTCGTAATTCATTATATTTTCTTTATTCGAAAAATTTCAATTGCAGTTATTTCAACTTCTAATTTCCCAATAGTATAATAATAATAATTTAGTTTTATGCCATTGCAGAGTGTATTTCTCCATTATAAAAAGTATGTTGTGAAACATTTGGGGCCCTGAGTTATTTCGAAACCTCGCCGAAAACGATGCCAGAATTTTGAACTTTGAATTTGTAGCTGGAATTTCAGCATTCGTGAAACCTAAGTATGTCAGCCACAGTTGCACCAATTTCAGTTAGCGCTAATTAATTACATTCTTTTTATGTGCCTGTGTCGTAAGTTTTCTTTGTCGATTTAAGAAGGATATAAAAAGGAAATACATTTTTTAATTAATGTATATGGAAGATACTTATTCTCTGAGGGAGAATTTTAATAAGCTCGCATTGTTGGTGCAACCGAACCTGAATAAAACAAACTTTTACGAGGTGCACGGAATATTTAACTTGCATTATATGTAGAGACTCTACTTTCTATCGATAGGCATGAATAGAGCGTGGGAGAAATTTAGTAATGCGATACATACGGATGTTTTTAGGAGCTATATTGCTGCCTCCGCTAAGATTCTCTCTTACAATGTACAAAAAGACATCTATTACTACGTTTAACGTTTGCGTAAACTGCATCGCAAATCATTGTTCAATCCAAAACACGGATCCTATTAAATCGTCACGCAGTTACTTTACAATAATATATCGAAATATGTATAAAATTAATTAATCTTATAGTAAGAAATATATAAAAGCAGCAACCTTTGCCTCATTGTCAGTTAGCTTCAGAATTGACGGTTATGTGAATTTATATAATAAATATATTTACAGCGAGTTCCAAAGAACGTGCCAATATATTGACATACTACAAATTATATATCGTCAGATTTTTATTGAAAAAAGTTGTCCAACACTAAAAATAGTGACAATTCTTTCCAAGACTTAATTTCATCATTACTCTTAAAGAACAGGATAATCACTTTTTTTTCACTGGACTACGAACTAATTGTGATAATGAAAGGATAATTCTCAGAAACTAAAATCTCGTGTCGTAAAATTTTGTACAATAAATAAATCATTTTACATCTACTATTTACACCTGTATCGACCAAGTACACGTATAACGTTTACAAAACACGTATGTATGAAAATACGAATGACACAAGCAGGCAGTTTCTTTTTCTCCCCTTCAATATCAACATAAGAGCGAAATTATCATTCCGGCAAGAACAAAAAAATATCGGCATTCTTAATGAGACAGTAACTGTGACGCTACTATCCGTAAGTTTTAGAAGGCAATGCATTTTGTACGTCAACCGGTGGTGTTTACTCTTGAGTACAAAATACAGCGTGCTGTATCCTCGTTTTGTATGTACAATATATGTTCCTGCACAATGGACACAATTTGTACTCTATTCTTTGACAGTTCCAGTTTCACAAAATAGTGCACTTTGAAAAAACACTCTCATTATGTGCATGTCAAATGAAATCATTTCACAAACATTCTTTGTGATCATTAGGATCAATAAAATCCGTTCAATGATCATATTCACTTCTATTGTTGTATGATCATTGTGTGACATTATATATACACATGTCTACTGGTGTTCATAGTCCGTTCTTATTTCAAGATCATCTTAAGTAATGCCTCAAGATTCTAATATGGTCATTTTATCAAACTTAAGATGGTCTTAAATATAAGATCTAACTATGAATACACCGGCCTTTGAACATCAATCAGTGCCGAGCCCGGAATACAATACAACTGAACAAATTTCACGCATTTAACGTAGTATTACTATCTTGAGAGTACAATCATGTTTCCACCTGAATTCGATTTTTGTGCGTTAAAATAAACGTATCCTCGATAATGTAATCCTTAAAGAAAAAAAATACGAATATCCTTAATTCATTTAGATCGCTATCAGACCGCGATTAAACAGAATAAAAAGCAAATTATAAATAACGTATGGATGATACTCTTGAATAAAGCTAATTTTTTAGGAAATTTTAAAGAACTGTTTATCCAAACAAATTTTGTCCTTTAGAATCATTATATTCACGAGTATCCGCCGTACGTACAGTATACAAGTATCCTCATTTTTCACCGTAAAATAAAATACCAATTAATATTTTAAGCAAACTGTTTTTTTTTCTACTTTTATCCATACATTCGAAATAAAAAAATTGATAGATATTGCTTCGTCTCTTTCGTAATTTACTCATGAAAACTAAACTAAATTATATATGTATAATTAAAATTATTCAATTAAATTATACAATTTGTTCCAGAGATACATCAGAGAAGTCGCTAACATCACAAAGTTTCGTAAAATATACCGATATGAAAATCGTCCGTATTTATATACTCAGTGTAGTTGCCATTAAGGCATTTAATCTTACACATTTACATTCGATCAAATACTTGCACAAACCCTGTAGCCCGCAGGCTAGAAACGTTCTGGAAACATTTTTTGAAAATCCTGCTATTAGTAAGCAGACGGTTATGAATTATTCGAAGGATTCGAATTCGATTCTACGCGCATCGAATTGATGTTGGCGACGATTTTTAATGCCGGGCCTAATTTGATACTCATTGCCGACATGAGGTGATCTTCTTTCAGCAGCATAAGAGCTTGGCCATCAATCTCCTGGATAGCGAAGTCTTCCGCGTAATCGGCGCATCCCGGTAGACCACGTATGAAATCGCACACTTCACCCACCTACGTGAAACACATATAATTTTTCATGTAATTTCGCTCATGTGAAGATATTCAGGTATGTTTTTTTTTATGAAAAAAATCTCAAAAATATCTTTCATTACCGTCCATTTAACTGGATTAACTTTCGGCAGTGATTCGTCGGCGGAGGATGTGGTAGTCGTAGACAACGATCTCTCCTCGCCGTTTTTCTTCGTCATGTCAACATCGACGGTTTCAGTCTCTATTTCAGTCCACTGTTTCTCCGTAGCGTCACGCATTTCACGTTTTTTACTGTAAACAAGATAAGTTCTTCGTTAAAAAAAGTATTTGCGAGAGAAAATATTTAGAAATAAAATAATTTGATAGTACATATAATACATATAATACTTGATGTTATAATGTATGTGTTCACCTCTTTGCGCACATCGACGAGCAGAATCGTTTTTCTTTTTTCAACTTAATGTTTTGTTCGTCGATCGCATTACCGCAACTTTCGCATTTACTGACTTGGCCGCTGGTTCCATCCTCTTCGTTCAAATAATTAGAACAAGATTTCTTCTCTGCGATGCAAATTTTGATTATTAGCTTGAACTTAAAACGCAACATTAATCACTCACGGGAGTAAGTTACTTACTTGGCGGCTCTTCGTGTGCATCTTTTTCTGTGACTGTATGACTCCGATTAAGGATATTAGTAGTTTCCTGACTCACCGCGAATGGTTCTGATGCTGCAGTACAGATAAGAAAATTCATGTTTATATCACAGCGACACTTAATACGATAATATAATTGATAGATAAAAATGCAATTACAATATATACCTTCATGTATTACAAATCCTTCTATCACATGCGTAAGAACCTGTGGCTTTACCATAGCTTTAGGCGGCGCTTGTTTATTATTCACTATGACTGTCGCGGAGATCGGTATAGTTTGTGACTCATCACCAACTACGCCGTTCGTAATCGCGTTTACTGTATTGGCAAGCCCTGCTAATGGGTTATTGCACTGTTTCTCGTCCACTTTTGGAGCAATTGTTTCCTCGTCTTTTTTTGCCGTCTTACATTGGTCCCCATCTACGTATAAACGGTTACGAAACCATTTTATATCTTCACCCCGCATGGATTGTATCCAATAAATTTCCTATTTACTAATAAAATGAGATTAATACCTGTTATCTCCGACTGAGGTGCTGTCGTGATATCTTCCGTGGTGACAGGTACGTCGTCTTTTTTCACAACTAACTTTACGCTATCGTCAGTTATTAACGGGGAGTTCGTGGTAGACGGTAATATCAAAGAGCACTCAGCCTGCGAATTACGGTCCGGCGATGTGATCATTATCGTCGAGTTGGTGTTATCGTGTGTCGGCTGATCCTGCGTTGCACTCACAATTGGCATCGCTTGAATTTGTGACGTACCGCTCATTATTTGATTACCCGATATAATTGTCGGATTGATAGTCTAGAAAAGAAAGAATATTCATTATTATTCTATATTCGGCATTCTTTATTTTATGCTACAGAGAAAAAAGAATAGCTTTATCATTTTACAGTTATATGCAACATAAATGAACGTTTCAAAGGCCAGTAACTTCTGAAATAGCATAGCAGTCAGTACCGGTAAAGGAATTTGTTGCATAGTTGACATCGGAGGTTGCGACATTGTATTCATCTGCGACGAGGCAGCGATCCCGACTCCAACTCCGCCCACCGAGACTACTGGCATAATGGAACGATCCGCTCCCAGGACAACGCCAGGTGGTGTTTGTTGCAGCGTCATATTCGCTACGTAATAGAAATTTTCATACTATAATACTGTCAAAAATAGTTTCTATATCTATACTCCATATTAACTTTGATACTGTAAGTATCGTGTAAATATCAACTTGAATAAGCGTTCTTACTCATGATGGGCTTAGTGTTCTGTATTTGGGAAGATTGCACTTGTTGGTACTGTTGCAGCTGCGGCTGTTGTTGCGGCGTATGTGGCTTCTGTTGTATGAAGACTTGTTGATGTTGTATTGTTGGTTGGGCTTGTTGCTGCTGCTGCTGTTGTTGTTGTTGTTGCTGTTGTTGCTGCTGCTGCTGTTGCTGTTGTTGTTGTTGTTGTTGTTGTTGTTGCGGAGTTTGTATCGGCTTGCCACGGCCTTTCCCGCTATTGCTATTCTTTGGCTGATGGCAGAAAACAAAACGTTTGTCGTAACTTAAAGGTTGTCGTGGACGTATATATTTATATATCATGGATTCTCAAGATAAAAATTAAATACCATGTGCTGATGTTAATATAATAACCTGTGTCTGTACTGTAGCTTGTACTCCATAAACTGTCTGTGTGGAAACAGAACTGGCGGCTCGTACATTGGCAGCCTGCACCAAGGATGACGGTAAGATGCTCAACGGTCGCTGTATGGTTGTGTTCGGCTTACCCTGTTGAGACTGTTGTTGCTGGATATCTATCAGCTTAGGTTTTCCACCAGTCGCCGTTATCTGTTGCACACCTTGTATCTGTTGCTGCGTCGCGAGAGCTAATCAAACAAAACAGTAAGACTTTTTAATTTCATTATTCTCTGTGTGAACGTTTCCGTTCATGTGTTACAAAAAAAATACCAAAAAAATTATAAAACAAAAAAATACTAAATTCTTATTTTGGAAATGTTTAGGTGTATTAATGAATGAATAAAATTACTGACCGTTGTGTGCCTGTAGCGGCTGTGGACTTTGTATAAACATATCAGTTTGTGCAGGACCGCGAATGAATATTTGATTAGGCGCGGCAGTGAGGAGAGTCGGTTGTTGCAATCCAGTGGTCCATACTTGAGGGGCGAATTGCCAGGGTGCAAACTGCATACCACCAGTTCTTCCACCTGAAGGTGTCCCAGTAGTGCAGGCTGTATACTGTTTGAAATATATCGTGTACTGTAGATGATAATGTTTGAAAAATGATAAGCAAACAGAAAATATGAAGCTTTAATATCGTAGAATAAATGCTCCTTTGCTATATTTACCTTTTGTACTTGGTCCTGCTTATTCGTGGACTGCTGCTGTTGTTGTTGCTGCAACGAGGGCGGTGGTTGCGGAGAACCTAATACACCGAGTTGACCGAACACTAGCGTTTGACCACCACCCGGATTAGCAGACGTGGGTACCGGTAAATAGCCGGCGGGAAATCCCGGGACTTTGTTACCACCGGCACCTGGATGACCAGCTCCTTGTCCAGGCGAAGATGTCGTAGCCAACATGTGAGGAGTTAATTGAGCTGTAGATTGAAACGGCTTTCCAGCTGCTATCACCTATAAAATATGCATTGTTTTTTAAAACTAGAAACGCGAATCTAATAATTATTAAAGAAGAAAAAATAGTGTATACGACTTTCAGAGTATATCATTTTTTGTTTAACTATCTTTGATAGTTTTATAACGTTATTTTATAATGTTGTAATGAAAAAAATAAATTATATTATTAATAGAATTAAAACAGTTTATAAGAAAACTGTTCTTTTTTTTCCTGATATTACATCACTTCGTGTGTAGGAGGCTTTAATTCTCACATTATTATTTTAATTATAGAGCAAAATTTTGTATATCAAAGTTTTCAAGATAAATTATTTTTAGAAGAATAATTAATTTTCTTTAATAAAAATTAAAGAAAATTGGATTATACCTGAATAGAAGAGGGATTTATGCCCGCCGGATGAAGCGCAAGGTTTCCTGGCATCAACAACGGTGTACCTTGAGTATTATACAATTGTTGTAAATGATAAGCTTGACTCTGCATTGGCTGTTGAATCACTTGAACTGCCTGCGGATGTGCAGCCATTGTAGTTATAGTGGTTGCACCTTGTTGACCAGATAATGTCATAGACACACCACCTACTCCCTGTTGCTGATGCTGTTGCATCGACACCGCAACAGCTCCCTGTAACTTTATTAATAACGAGATGCAAAATAATGTCGATATATTCACGCGAAGGTAAAAAAAAACACAAAGAATAAAAATAACGTGGCAATTCATAAAAAATAATTAAGTAAAATCAATAACCAAATATAATAAAAAATGTAAAATTATTTATAAAATAAAGCGAAATATATAATTTTAAACAGATGTGAAAGAATAATTACTTGTTGCGGCATGCTGGCAGCTACCTGCGGCTGCACTTGAACCTGAGTAGGTACAACATTGTGAGGTCCGTTATTTTGCTGCTGTTGCTGTGGCTGCTGCGATTGTTGTTGTGACTGCTGCTGCTGTTGCTGCTGCACTTGTTGCTGCACCTGTTGTTGCACTTGCTGCTGGACCTGTAGCTGCTGTTGCGACTGAACTTGCTGCTGTAACTGCTGCTGCGGCTGAACCTGCTGCTGTTGTACCTGGGCTTGTTGCTGGACCTGCTGAGGTTGCTGCTGTACATGTTGCTGCGACTGTTGGACATTCTGCTGCTGCTGCTGCAGGTCATGAGTTGCGATCATTATTTGTTGTTGTTGCGGTTGTTGCTGCGGCGATTGCGATTGCTGTTGTGGTTGCGATGTCGAAATTCCAATCGGTTTAACATCTGTCATGTTTCCTTATACTCTTGCGTAATTAGACTACAGACGTTCTCTTAGAAAAAGAAGTATCTCTCGCTAACAGTGTTCAACTGACGCGTAGCTCCTTTTCCTTGCCATTTTACATTCACATTCACGCCAGTTTCAATCTTCCCATCGTGCCGCATCTGCGATATATAGACGGACAAACAAAGAAAATTAATTCCTGGATAATAGCCCGACTATCGTGTCAGCTCCGCATATTTCCGCGTGCAAGGCACGCATCATCGAAGGTATATTATTTTCTTAAAAGTTTGCTCTATCGTTCGTTAACGTTCTTCTATTTTCCCATTCACGAGTTAAATGAGTAATACGATTGTATCCATTGGCAGAATATTCAACGTACTCTCTCCCGGCTCGTGTCTACGCACGGCGTTATCTTATTTTCATGTTTAAACAAAAATACCGCGGTGGGGTGTCTACTTGACGATCGAACGCGGGTTCGAGAGGCGAGCGTGAAGTAGCCATCGACGCCGCGCCATAACCTTCGCCGACAGTACGCGTGCTTTGGCGGATCCGAGAGCTCGGCGAGATTTTGTCGTCGCGAGAACGGCTACTGGCACCGGTGCCTGGGAGAGGGCTGGGAGTGAAGTCAGTGAAGTGTTGCCCTACGTTTAACGTTGCATCTTCTCTTTCTTTCTCTCTCGACGGTCACGCATGCGGAAACTCCTCGGCCCGGCAAAAGTAAGTTATCTGAAAAGTTATCAACGGTTCGTCACGTTTCGCCCGATCCTCGCCGCGCTAAAGTAACGCGCGCGATCAAGCGAGCAAAACCACATGGTTCTACTCATCCGCTCGATATCGGGGCATCCGGCGCTATTTTTTTTTCCCGTCGCCCGATCGAACGTTATTTATTCATCGTAAATTGGGCGGTTATCGCGGCCCTATCGTCGCAAGAATTAGAACCGAGCGAATATAGGTTAGGATTAGGCGGCGACATCGATATAGCTATAGTTAATATACGATATTAGAACCAAATCGCAGCGTATGCAGATCCTACTGTGTAATTAACACGTAAATCAAACAGGCAGACGCTTCGTGCGGCAATAATTATTTATCATAAATTTGCCTTAGCTACGAGATAAGGATAATGCTGAGTTAGCTGAGTATCTCGAAATGTTCGAGCGTTGTGAAGATATCGTGCGGACGTATGTACGGCGGAAGCAGTGATTTCATCAACTGTTTTCCCAGAGGAATACAGACACTGCAGAATATTATAAAAATATTAATCTCTATTTAACGGAGCGCGCCTTTTCCCCCGAAGAATACAGACACTGCAGAATATTGTAAAAATATTATTTATCTCTGTCTAGCCTGTAGTATGCTTTTCACACACAGTTGCATACTGTTCATCTAATTTCATTCTGTAATCTCATCATTTCACTTCAACATTGTCGGAGGATTACTGCAGTTTAAACACCAAATTATATATGATTTTTGTTTGACGTTCAATCTTTCCATCTGATATTGTTTTTTATTATTATATTAATATCGGAGTATTATTGCAATTCTGACGTTATAAATAAGTGAAAATCGATCGATTATGTGAATACACAGCAAATAAGTAGGGATGTGCCTAATTTCGATCTCTCTTTTGTGCCTAATAATATTTGTGCCATTTTCCATTCAGCTGAAACCATGTGTTGATTATTTGTCGGTCATGAAACATTTATTAGCATAAATATTATTGAAATGTCATCATAATGTTAAACGTCTCAATAATGTACTAATGATTACCCATTCAATTACGTGAATTTACTGTTTCAATCTCAACCTATAGGACCGTGTTATATATTTTTTATTGCATTTCTAACATTGAGATTGTATAACTTAACTTTGCATCTGATCTCATTTCAATCTTTTCATTTTACTCTAATATTGTTGCAGTATTATTGTAGTTTTTATATCGAAATTGTTTTTTTTTTCTTTTTAACTTTCCTTATATCTTTTAAAGAAGAAAACATACATCCATCTTATTTCAAATTCAAGAATTGTAAGAATGTGTAACTAAATAGATTGAATACGGTACCAACAAAATTAAGTGATGCAAATTTACTTTCTATATTGAGAAATAATTCCGCTCTCACAGAACAGCTCAATTAAGCACATTTCACAAGGAAAGGTTTTATTTTCATTTCTTTTATATAGGATGTCTCAGACTTAATCAGTCGCGTTTCACTGTAACTTGGAGTTTTGTACTTTAACAGAAACCGAAAGAATTTATCACTCGTCGCAGATTTTCAATGAAATACCTTGGACCTTAAATACATATAAAGGCTACGGTCAACGTGACGCTACAAATCCTTTGGAGCGTTCTTCTTCTTCTTTCTTTATTGAAAGAAAAGAGAAGAGGAATGCTTCGAAGCATTTGTAGCATCACGTTGACCGTAGCCAAAGTCAAACGATCTGTGAAGCTATATTGGGTAAACATTGTAACTTTAAAAAATTCGTTTGCTTTCTTTTTGTTATGGGAAAATCAGTTTCCTATAGCGCCTAATTCGTTCGATAAAAAAAATTCATAGACGCGAAAAGTAGCTCGCGACAAATCCGAGATTCTCTGCATTGCGGAAATGAAATGATATCTGATTTCGAAGTGAAACTGGTACATGAAATATATCTTGCATATGTATTACAGAATATATGTATATGTATATACGCAAACTTCTTGTAAAAGGTTCCACACATCTGGGCCACCTTTTACAACGCTAGGGCTTGAGGCTCGATACGCTTCTCGGTGAAGAGAGAGAGCGAGAGAGAGAAAATAGAAACGCGTCGCGCTTCGAATGCACCGAGGGGAGGGCAAGCAGGGCGAAAGAACGGAACACGGTCCGACGTCCCCGACGCCGAACTCGCATGGTAACGCAGAGCTCTGCATATCCCGTCACTCGAATAAAAACCATCACGGGAGGAATATCGATCCGGCGCGTAAACGCCGACGATTCCATTTTGGAATGTGCGCGGCGCGCGCGCGCGCAAACGAACAAAATGTCGCGTCCCAGCCCATATATCCACCATAATTAGCGGCACGGTAATAACGAGAGGGGAGAAAGAGGGAAGAAGGGGGGAAAGCACCGGAGAGCGGGAAATACGATTGAAAGGCGGGGTGGCGTGACGGAGAGGGGATATGACAGAGGGGAGAGAAAAATTAGGAGATGAGAGGGGGAGAGAGAGAGAAAAGAACTGTGCCATGGGGGACGGCTAACACATGGATCTCGCCATAATGGCAATTTTATGTACAAACAGATAGTTATAACGAGAGCACGCGGAGACGCTTTTTTTTTCTCTGCGACACGCTCGCCGGAAAACGCAATAAAGCGTGGCTACTGGCTGGCGTCACACGCACGATACGGGATACGGTATCCGGTATCCGGTTGTTGTCACAGCCCGTCCCTCCGTGCGAATCCGAGCGCCGAGGTGGCGGCGTCTCGCGGACGCCGACATATTGAAAATACAAAATGAAGAACACCGTTCGGAGAAACGACGGGACGGGTGTGCGAGAGAGAGGAGGTGGCAAACGAGTAGAGAGAGACAGAGACAAGGCACAGTGTTATCGAACAGTCGCACCGTGTCGATGGACCGTTGTCGCGTTCGGCGAAGATCGTCCTCGTCAGCGTGGTAGTCGAGTTGCATTCGCAAACACGGTCTAGTGATAATTTTTTTTTCTCGCGTGGCACGCACAGCGCCCACGGAGAGAGACATGGCGAAGGGGTGGATACACTCGACGGCCGCCCTACGACAACGACGACGACGACGATGACGCCACCACGAGTCGACGGAGCCTCCGACACGGACGTCTCGCTTCTACCTATTATCAGGTACTCACATGGCGACTGCGCAGTCACACACCTATATATACACGCTTCGACTGGCCGCGTATATGTGTGTGTGTGTGTACGCACACACAGAGAGTGCGCTTACGTAGATGCACGTGTGTTATGTGTATTCCCACTCACACCACCACCACCACCTTGTCCGTCGCGCAGCACACGATGCCACCAACGGCGTGTCGTTCGCTCGTTCGTAGCGTTTTCACTTTTTTACGAATCACCGTTTTTCATCGCGCGAACAACAACCCGCGAAATTCGTTGGCGCGTAGCCTGGAGTCCGTAAGAATTGGCGATAATGGTTAATCCGTCGGTGCTATCGACGATGCCGCTGCTACTGCCGTTGCTGTTAGCTGCCTCCCTGTTCCACACGGTATAATACGGACGTTACCTCCGTAATACCCGCGCGTCCCCGACGCAGCCATCCCTTCCCGTTGTAACCCTCCCGCCGCGCGCCCCGCGTCGTCCAGCCTGCCTGCTGATTGGTTCGACGGGGACAAATCCCAAAGGCATCGTCCGCTCTGAGAAAGGCGGAGCCATCGGATATGGTGGCTATAGGCGCATGCTCACTAACGGTACCGCGTTCTCTCTCTCTCGCTCTCTCTTTTGCTCGCTTTCTCTCTCTCTCTCTCTCTCTCTTTCTCTCTCTCTCTCTCTCTCTTTCTCTCTTTCTCTTTCTCTTTCTATCTCTCTTCCTCTCTTCTTCCTCACCGCCACCTATCGCATCCAGTCGTCCTATCGTGTGCACGCACACAGAGACGCGAACCATTTGTTCCTGTACGTATACAGATCTATAGTCCATGCTATATTTCACAGCATAGCACCGGCAGAAACGTGCTGAGTTTTCCGAGTGCCCTGGTATCCCGCTTTACACATTTCTCCTAAAAATCTCTTTCTCTTTTTTTTTTCTTTTTGTCAGAAATCATTGTTTATTTCCTTTTTGAATATTTACTTGAGAATTATAATTGTGATACTAATAAAAACTTAATACGTTATTATTGATAATAATGAATAATTTATTTGTTGCGTTGTTCGATCATATTGTTATCTAATTGATATTATTGAATGACATATTCAGTGATAATTGAAAATACGTTACAGTTTAAAATTGCAATTAATTAATTTTATATTTATTTTATAACTCACACGATTGTTATTCAAACAATTTATAATTTCTATATTTAATTTGTATATTTACATTAAACATATTTATTTTATATGTATTATATAAGTTTTGTGAGATTTTATAAAAATGTTAACGACAGAAAAAAACTGAAAAAACGAGTGTTATTAAATCTCTTTTAATAAAAATATTTAAATCGATAAATTGTACAGAGATTGTTGTTACGATCTTCATTTCTTATTACAGTGAGAAAAGATAACAACAAATTACGCTGATAATATCATCTATTATTCATATCATATCGTAAACAGCACACGATCGATTATTACCAGTTGCGCTAATCATCACCAGAAACTTTACGTAACAACGATTGCACGACCAGCATTTCTAGAAAAACTTTTTACTCCACATGAAGAGCCACTTTTTAATGCATGTAAGATTACGTATCATACGTATATGATATTATTACTAATCCAACTGTGTGTGCTTATTATTTTATACATTTACATGAACGAAAACAATCATTATTAATACTTTTAACTTACATCAAAATATTATCGTAATATCGTAAAGTTAATATATAAAAATGCACATATTTATGTATTTTTGTATATCTTATTGTATATTTGTATATTTTAAATTACAAGAAATCTATGCAAAATTCTAAGAACAGACTTGCCCCTCCAAACTATTAGACTCTCTTCTTAGGAAATTTCTTGTTACATGTTTACAATTGAACGGAAAAAATTTACAAAGTATTCAAAAAGATTTCAAAGACGTGAAGGTCACTTGTTAATGGCTAATGTTTCTGCTGTACAGGTTCTATGAGTTATATCCTTTGGAATGACTATTCCCCCTACAACGAAACACATTGTACATAAGAGAAAGAGAGAAAAGAGTGTGTTTGCTGCGAATAAAATGAAATAAGTTCTTTTCGTCCTAACATAATATGCTCGTCTTAACATATGTTCTTTCGTAGCTCTCTCTTTGTTTTATAAAACTTTATATTATTCGAGATACGAAATAAATTCGTAAAATATTGTTTTAATCAATACGTGCGCGCATGTAATTTTGCTGCAAAACAATAGTTCTTTTTGTTCTTATTTACAATATTTGATTTTGGTATTCTAAAAATCTTTTTTCGCAATTTAATCCTTTCTAAGTTGCCGAAATATATAAATGTTGTAATAATAATCTTAACGCTGTTAAGCCAATTACAGCAAAGTAATGTGTATATAGTATGCAGTTGGAATAAAACATAGTGACGTAATGTAGCGAGAAGTTCGCACACGAAGTTTAGTATCTGTGGCCCCGTGCGGGCGCAACACGGCCCTGACGCGCAACTGTCTCTAAGCCGAGTTTATGCTTCCCGGCTCGAAACTCGGGGACTTGCGAGCCGCACGCAATTGGCTCCTCGCGTTCTTGCAGAAATTTTCCGTCCAATCGGTGCGTTCAAGTTGCTCGTAGCTGTTTGTTATTTTTTTTTTACGCAACGAGCGTACATACGTAAGCAAAACTTCGGAAAAACAAAAAACATGGGCATCTCGCGTCCTTGACGTCCTCGACGCGACGCGGTGTCGAGGAAAGCTCCAATTTTGATGCCAAAACCTCCATGCATAATGCATCCTGCTCCGCCCAAGGCACGGGGATCCATCTTCATCTATGGATCAAGGACGCGGAGTCTCGCGTTTCGGCGGTCGGAACTTCGGCCCTTAAAAAACTCTTCCACGTGTACTACCTCTGTATTTGCCTAGGACGAAGCATGGCAAGCTTATCGCGCGCAATTTTATACGCCGAAACGCGAACGCGTTTTGTTTTTGGCGCTGTCGAACGCGATCAAAACCGCACGCTTAATTAAGAAAATTGTTAATTAAAAATCCTTCTGTTTACGGTACTCGATCCTACGTATGGAAACGAGTGTACCTCGACAGCATTTCCCAGATATAGAATCGTAAAAAAGGAGTAAAACCACGCTAACGTGAAATACAAGGGATTTATCGTTCATCTCCCAATACCGGTCTCGGATTTCGACGCGAGGTGCGACGGTAGGACGTATCGCGCGTAGGGTAGGAACAGTCCCGGCTGTACCAATCCCAGTAACCAAGTCCCTGCGTGAGCGGCGGACGCGCGCGCGCGCACGTACGACGTTCTCATGCGCGCGCGCGCGCGCACATATATGCATGTGTATGCGCGCTTGACGAGGGTCGGGTCGGTGGATCGTGGCGTGTAGGGGAAGAGGAAGGGGGGGAGATTGCCCTATAGTCCACGTCTATGCTATGCTGCGAACGATGGAGCGTATCTTCGGCATCTGTAGTTTGCCGTTCGACCGTAGAGCTCGATGGCGCGCGGGTGGGAGAAGCGACGCAGCCAATGGTGTGGGTCGCGACGGGGTTGCCAGGGAAACAAGTTAATGATTCGGGCTGCTACCGAGGAATTGGTCTGGCCTGGGGTACGGCCGGCGCGTGTAACGTCGTTGCGTGACCGCGCATGTGCCGCGCTGCCCCCGCCAAGAGGGGGGGAGAACAGATCCTCTTTCTCTCGCTCGCGCCCGTTCGTATCGCGCGTCGTCCCGTCTCCTTCCGTCTCGTTCCGCCTCGATTCGCCTCGAGTCTCGATATAGTCATGGTCGATGTCCGTGAATTGGTCGCGCGCAGCGCCTGTGTGCGCGCGTATACACGGTTGCGTGAGCACACGTACACGTGTGGCCATCGCTACTATCGCGAGAGGCTCGTGTGTTCATTCTGATTCGACCGGTATACACACATACGCGCTCCGTACACGCGGCACGCTATATCACGTGTAGGACGCGGCGGGCGCGCGCGCGCGCGCGCGCACACAGCGCTTAAGTCGTCGCGACGATTGGTTCCCTTCCCACCACGCTCGATCTCTCTCCCTTGAAATTTTCTCTCTTCCCTCTTCCCTTCCCACCCCGGGCCGCTCTTTCTTCTCTTCGTATGTCCATCGCGGTTCCCTCTCTACCGCGGGCTCATTTCACTGCCATCTCCTCCTTCCCACACTCAACCGTCCCCTCCCTCTCCACCCCCTGACCTCCTTTTCCCCACACAAGTCTGCTCGGTAATATACCGCCGCATATCGTTCGATGATACACGACGGGGAAGGGGCAGGAGTAGGAGGGCTTCCCCATCGAAAGATTCGCTGTAGATTATAATATATCCGATGTCTGCATCCGATCGGTCCTCGAATTAACGTCGAGAAAATGGTAGCGACCGCGCGGCGACCGAATGGGGGGAGGGGAGCGAAGCGTAATTGCCGAATGCCGTGCGAGTGCCATGACGGACTCGTCGGGTTGGGGCAACGACGCTCGAGGGCATCGGGCCATCCTCTTCGTCGCTGAATATCCCGATATTCGATTTGCAATATAATCTTCGCTCCGAATGAGAGCGTCTCTCATTATCTGACTGCGCATTACGTGCAAATTAATATTGTTAATTCTCAATTTAGCATAATTAATTGTATGGAACGGTCACGTCATTACGTTTTATATGGCAAAATCGAAAATTTAATACATCTTTATGGCTCTTTCTGTTTCTAATTTCAAGTAATGAGCCAGCAATTTTACATCAGATTGAGCGCCAAGAAAGAAATATATATCAAGAAACACACACCTATAAAACGTTACAAATATAAAATACACATAAGGATACATACAAATATAAAATACATATACAAGGGGCTATACATATTTACAAGTCGGTGCACGTATTGTAATTTGATACGAGTGATATCGTTATTATCTCCCACGCGGCCGATTAAGGGGGGTTAACGATCCGACTCCACACGATACTCCAAGACAATCGTTCAGGAATCGTAAGACTTGCTTGTCTGTGCAACATTTGCGACATACGTTCATGCTGAGAATACAATCTCTTTCGCTATAAATTCCGATCTATATCGGCTAATTATTCTACAGGATAATAATCTCGTTATCTTTACGAGAGAGTAAAAAATTTCTTCTTTAATATCTGCGTATAATAGCCTCTTTTAATATGGCACTTGTACGATGAGAGAGAGAGAGAGTGAGAGGGTGGGAGGGAGGGAGGGAGGGAAGAGAAAGAGAGTTTATTATGTTATATGTATTGCCAAAGGTTGCGAAACCGGTACAATCTCGGCGAGTTCAATTTCCGACGCTATAGACATGCGAAAAAGACCCTTATGTTGGACGTTGTGTTTCGTTTATTCGTGAATAAGCAGAAGATTCATTATCGCACGTGTATATGCTATC